TCTCTCTTTCGCCTTTTTTTTTTTTTTTTTTTTTTTGCAGAGGAGCAAGTGCGCTCTTTTGGAAGCCCCTGTATTCCTCGTTCTGCGAGGAAGAAGGGGGCTTCCGAAAGAGGGTTTTTTCCCCCAACATTTGGCCAAGTCTAGATGGGCCAAATGTCAGAAAAGCCTCTTCTGATAGAAGAATTGGAAAAAAAGTACGCAAAATGCAGAATGTATGTTACATATCTTTTTCCAACAAAAACGCATAGTCTAGCCGTACATAGGAAGGAAGAGTTCGAACTTCAGCTAAATTGCAATTTAGACATTTCTTTCAGCTAAATCTGAGAGAGAGAAGGAATAGTGCGAGATTTAGAAAACAAGGGTAACTGAGCTCTTTCACTGAGTATGGTACCTTAAAACACAATCAAGTTAACATCCTTTTAAAGGAAAGTATAGTAAAGAAAAAGCTGTTAGAAATACAGATTAAAGGAATTTTGTTTTCTCATTAAGTCTGCAGAAATAATCGATAAATGAACTGCAAAATTACGTGCATGATAGGGGAAAAACTCTGAAATATATTGCACCAAATATTAGTATATTTCCACACAAAGACAATATTTCTGCTAGAAACTATCATTGCTATATATAGTTCTCTCACATAAGTGCTTTAGCAAGCATACTTTTTGTCCACAAAGTGCACTGTTATTTTTGTTTTTAAATCTATAAGAAGTGGTATGTAGAATATTTTTAAGTATGTTTCATCCCAATTTTGTGGAAAGCAATTTCTAAAAGTACTGAAACATACATTGGTAATGCATCAGAGAATCTCAATGCCTCAGTTTATCTTCGTAACTATAGATCACTTTAGGACAGCCTTGATAGCACTATCATCCAATAAATTAAGAATTTACTGAATTTTACTTGAGAGAGAGAGTCTTTCTTTTATAAATGAAAGTAATAAGTTCAAACAACAATGATGCAACTGAATATAACTAACTTGCCATTATCTCTAATTACATAGAATACCCCATACGGTAAAAGAACATCAAGCTTGCAAAGGCAAGCACTTAAAGTCACAAAGTTAAGGTTGCCTGTATACCCTTAATTCAGTCCCATTGCATATATATATTCAGATGCTGTCTTTAATTACGTAATAATATATATATTTCTGCAACACCATTCAGTCAGTGCACAGGATGGATGGTATTTACTGAATAAGTAGTGTTTTTAAATCCTCATTACTTAGTATATGACCACAAACATTATTTGCTGTGCATTATTCAGATTTTGCACACAATGATTAATTTTCTTTTGGGCTTTTCAATGGCACTTCACAATAACATCTTTGCCTCAGTAGTTAGCCAATATCTGGGGTTTGTTGAGTAGTTTCCATTAACGAATACCAGTTAGGTATTTCTTTAGTATAATCCATTCTATTTACAGAGAATGTACTCCAAGTCCAATTTTTCTGAAAACTGTAGGAATCAACAGGAGACAGTTTCCTTTCACATTTGCCAAGCCTGCATGCAATCTTGTGCCCCCAAAGAACTCTGATTTTGCTCTCTCAAGTTATGTCTACACTGGGGAGTTACTTTGAAATAAGTCCCCTTATTTTGAAATAACAAGCAGAGCATCCACAATACCACGCTTGTTATTTCGAAATAACTCCTGCTTGTGAAGAGGAAGAAGTTTATTTCAAAATACTTATTTTGGGAGTTATTTCAAACTAAGTTTGAAAGTTATTTTTGAAATAACCTGGTAGTGTAGAAATAGCCTCAGAGGTCATTCTCAATAACACTTCTCTCTGCTTCTTTTGTCACACACAAAAGATTGTGCTACAGTGCAGTTAAACACCTACAGCTGTCTCATGCCAGACTCAGACTAAGTGGCTAATAGCAGTGTAGATGTTCAGGCTTGGGCAGAAGCTTGGTCTATAGGACCTTGCAAGACTTGTCCCAGTGCTTGGGCTAGAGCCTGAATGTCTGCCCTGCATTTAAGCAGCCCTGCAGCCAATCATGAGTATCTAACTGCAGTGCAGACAAGCCCACACAGATACTTAGCTGCATCTACTCAATGTCCTAGCCCCTGCATTTGCAACCCGTTTCCATGGAAACCTCTTCTGCCCAGGCTTCCATACTGGCAATGCCTTGAGTAGTGGCTTTTACTGTTTATCAGTAGACCAAGGAACATTTAACTGCTCCTTTTTAAGACTGAATTAAAAGGTCTCTGTACATTGATCAGCTGTAACCTGGTTATTTTTGATAGCAGTCACTAGCATATTCCAGCCTACTATTAAGTTAAGTGCAACGGAATAATAACCTGCAGCATTTGACATACCCACTGCTGAGTTGAATTTAGGGACAAGGAAGAAGAGGAAGTCTATTTCTTTAGGCAGACAAGTTGGATATTTTTAGAATTGCACTTCTGATGGCTCTATGAAAATCTAATTGTATAATGTCAGTTGTAAATGGCATTTAGAATAATGTTATAATCAGATTAATTAAAATCACTGTGTTATTCAGAATGGGCAATAAACAGACACCTGAGCCAGCATTATTGCAGATATATTGAAGATTAATCCATCAGGTAAGCAGATAATTTATAATACTGTAACAAACCAGACCTGATTCTCATACCTCTGCACAACTAGAAAATTAAACTTCCAAACTTTGTGTAGAAAATCTGTAAACTTCCTGGACAGAATAAGGATCTCGGATGATGAATGCCAGATTAATACGTAGAGAGAAAAAGGTCAGTGCCTCAATTCTCCATCTGTAAAATGGAGATAATATTCCTCAACCTCAAAGGGGGACTGAGAGATACTCATTAAAGTCTGTTCAATGCTTTGAGAACTATGGATGAAAAGCATTGTGCAAATATGAAATATCAGATATTTTAGCAGACGTTATGGTTATTAAATTAAATTATTTGTCTTTAGTTCTTACAGAAGTTAAATGACCATAGAAATTTACTGTGAAAACTGAGAAGCAAATTTTATGGGTTTTTTTTTTTTTATTACACACACAATAAAATTTTCAGTTTTCAAAGTGAACTGCCTAGGTCTCACCTATTTATATTTATTACTGGTACAGAACAAAAAGGGTATTTTACTAGGTAGAATTTTGAGCCAGCAGTCATAGCTGCTTTTCTATGTACCTATCTCAGGGCCTTCCTCCACCCAGAAAAGCGTGAAGATGGAACTGTAAACAGAAGGACACTTCTAAAACCCAGGAGGT